AAATGAAGACCACGATGTGTTGAGTGTAAAACTGATAATATGCTCTGTAAACCTACACCCAATTCACAATAAAACTTGCAAAAAAATTTGGAAGTGAAGCTGCAGATAATGTATAGTAGCAATGAACATGATATTTTGAGTTGCATTCATTCATTTTAGCAAGGATTTACTTTTTTTAAAGAAAATCCTAGTGACAGAATTTATGATTGAGTTGGTGAGGCAGTTGGTGAATTTTAGATTTCTAGAAGGCTGCTATGTTTTCTAAAGGGGCACCTTGCTCTTCAGTAACGGAAAGCTGTGGGTGGAAACCGCGGGTGTTTGATTAACCTTTAAAATGTTGATCTTGGGCTCCCTGAATTGGACTTCTTAGAAAAATTCCTTTCCTGAATTTCAAGCCTTCAATTTTCTCATGTAACTTGGCTAATTCATTGAGTCAGAAATATTGTTTGTAATATGCAACCGTTTTGCTTTAGATTCCAAGAAAGGACTTTCAAAGTGTAAAGATACTTTAACCTATTTTCCCATCAGCACTAGTGACTTAGAGTTTCACAAATTATTTGTATTCATAGACTCAGTTACATTTAAAACAGAGACACGTTCTTGAACCTCCGAGGGTGTGAATTACACTCAGGTACCAAAACTGATGTGGCGCTGCAGGAAAATGCATTAGACTGCAAGGTTGGTGGTTCAAACCCACCAGCCACTCCTCAGGAACCCTATATAGGGTCGTTATGGATCGAAACTGACTCGATGGCACTTAACATCAGCAACAACAAACCCAAGATATTTATAATGGAGATGTGTTTACCCCCCCCCCCCGTGTGCACTCGGTCCTCCTGAGGTAGGATGGCTTCCAGGATGTGAAGTAGACTCAGGTCCCAGGACACCTACAAAGGGTGATTGGTGTGCCACAGTTCCCTTGTCATTAAAATGTTTTTATTTTTGTAGTGACATACATGAGGAAACATTAAGGAGCCCTGATTGCTCAGTGTGGGAAGCATGATGCTGCTGACAGCAAGGTCGGCAGTTCAAACCCACCATCTACTCCATGGGAGAAAGACGTGACCGTCTGCTCCTCAAAGGCGCATTTCTATTCTGTCCTGTAGGACCTCCAGGAGCTGGGCGTTTTTGGTTTTCCAGAAGAACTTGCAGTTTCATCCAGCCTGCGATGCCCTGCCCAGCAGCCCTCTGTTCTCCTGGTGTAGAAGGCTGAAGTCTTGATTTTCCAGGGCACAGCCCTGGAAAACACATGTGGGCGTGTTACAGGGAAGTCTGACCCCTGGTCCTCCCCCGTCCAGGGCACCACCTCATCTGGGCGCTGAGAACCGCTGTCCCCACTTGCTCCCAGTGTTCTCTGAGCTTGGGTATCTCACCAAGGGCTATTTTCATCTCAGACCCTAGTACAGTTACTTTTCCTTAATTCCTTGCTTACAGTTTTCTGGGATTCTCAAGAGCCAGTATTCGAACACTGTCAGGATAAAGGTTCAGTAATCACCAGTGCTCCTTACAGTGAGACGCTCACTGAAGAGGTGAAGCCTAAACTGCAGATTAAATGCAGAGGACTGCTGTCCAAGGGCTTTGTGATCTTCCGGGACAATGCACACCCACACACCTCTGCCCACAGTGCTGGCATGCTGCAGAAGCTTGGTTTTGAGTTGTTAAAGCGTCCTCCCTACAGTCCCGATTTTGCTCCACTGGGTTTACACCTCTTTGGTCCCCTGACAGCAGTCCTTCAAGGACGAAGCTCTACCTCTGATGCAGAACTGAAGACAGCGGTGCATTTGTGGCTCACAGCTCAGCCTCAAACAGTTTTTAGTAAAAAAATACGAAAGTTTGTTGAGAGATGGACAAAGTGTATTGAAAAGCGAGGAGATTATGTTGAAATGATGGCTTTGTCTTTTCTGAAAGTTGCTGGAAGTAAGTTCTGCAGCCAGAGTGCGGGTAATTTTTGATTCACCCTCTCATATCCTTCAGTCACCCTCTTAAACTGCAGGGAGCTGTCTGATGCCTGTCCACATGCAGGTCTACGGTGCGCGCAGCCTCTGTGCGGGCACATGCTGAGCATTCACAGAGCCCAGTCAGCAGAGGGTTAAGTCTCCCATGCTTCATTTCATGCTCTGCACATCGCCATTGGTGCAGCTTGCTGAGACCACCACCATTTGCTTTGGGAGTTAAAATCGGGGTCTGAGTGTAGCTGATAACCAGTGGCCGTTGAGTCAGCTCGAACCCATGGTGACCCCACATGTGTCTCAGTAAAACTTATGCTGTAGTGCGTGTTTAAGGGCGTATTTCCTGTAAGTAGGTCTCCTCCAGATGCAGTCAAACCTGCAGTGCAGTGTGGTTGGCCTGATCAGAGGCCCACTCCTCTTCTTGTTAGCAGGTAAATATGTCTGGCAATTTCTGTGAGAGATTTTCAGAGATGGTATGAGACAGTTGTTTCTGGTCCAGTCACTGGAAACCAGCATTTATTCTCGCGCCCCTCAGTTCCCTGTAACTTCAGCATGAAGGAAGCTTTCCTATTGATGAAGAGCCCCTCCAGATAGATGCCCGTTTTGTGCTGTTGCTGGTCTTCTGATGGAAGCTCTGGGTCATAACTCCAACAAATCCCTCAGAGATTTTTTTTTTTTTTAAAGTTTATATTGTGAACTGAGTGATAGTTTACATGGGAGAACATTGGTTTTACACCATTTCATTGCAATGATTACAGTCTACTCCAACAGTATTTGCTTCTATTCCCTCTGGGTTT